ATAGTAATAAATCCTACAGTATAGTGTCCATTAAAGCTAATAGTTTTCATTGACCTTGCTTGATGTGAAATTGTTATTTTATCGGTTGACTGAGCTGATCTATTTTCAGTCCCAACTCTTCTTAATGATGAGCACTAGTTAAAAGCTATGGAATAATATTTCAAGTGAAGCTTTTGTCATAGTTACTCTGATAGGGAAATGTGAAATGCTTGCCTGAGCATACACACTTGAATATTAAAGTGCTTGTCTTAATCTAAATTAGATTGAAATTTTTCGCTTTTGCCTCTTGCCTCTTGCTTAGATTCGCGTTGTATAGTTATAATGTCGCTGGTGAGAACATTTTGGGTTGGAAAAGGGAAACTTTGCCGAGGTTTTCAATTCTCAATTGAGTTATAATGTCTCTGCATATCTAATATTCGGGACTGAATTACATGCTGTCAGTTCTTGACATTTTGCTTCGCCGAAATATTAACGACCAATCTTGTCTGTCCGTTGCGCTATCTTAGCTTAGATCTGAATTAGCTTTAGATATGCACAACGTTCTTATTAGACAAGATAATTTGGGAATAGAAAATTACAAGAAGCTTGATTAAAAGTATCTTGGTGATGTGCAACCTGATACCATATTTGTTGTGTATTTTTATTACTCAAGTCTCAGATTGTTTTCTTCGACAACTTTTAACGATTTTTATGTTTCTGTTAATGGCAGAACAAAGATGTTACTGAAGCAATTCAGAAAGTTGCTGCTGCTCATGACTGCAAGATTGTTGAAGGGGTTCTCAGTCATCAAATGAAACAATTTGTAATTGATGGAAACAAGGTTGTATTGAGTGTTTCAGCACCCGAGACGCGAGTTGATGATGCTGAATTTGAGGAGAATGAGGTTCATGCTATTGATATAGTTACAAGCACTGGTGAAGGCAAGGTAATGATTATACTCGATTCTTATAGCAAACATAAGCCCCTGTTTGGCCCTATTTTTATTCAAATTCATTTTGAATCACACATTTGATGGGACACAACTCTTATCAACTTTTCAACTACACATTTCACGACTTTTAATTCAAAATCTACTGTCAGGTTTGTTGAAAAAAATTTATGTTTGCAATTGGTAGATCTAGGAGAAAATATTTTACGACAGCTATTAAGAAGTCCTTAGACTAGTCAGCATAGATATAGTAAAAAACTTAAACAAGCAAATCCCAACAAAATAATCATGCAACTATAGAAAATTTACCAGAAGGCAGTAAAAGCTACATCAGACCACTGAATTCTTAGATTAATATTCTGCAAATGATGAATAATTGGGGCAAAATACGCCACCGTTTTCCCAGTTCCAGTCGCAGCATTTACAAGCCTGGGAGCACAACAGGAATCCTAATGTCCCGTCGAGTAGAAAACATAAATAATCCACAAAAAGCAAAATAAAAACACAACTAATATCAGATAAAAATATCAGATAAATCGATCCAATTGGTCCCAATACATACAGTCACATACAATTTTAATGTTAAGTTTTTTTTGTTGATATTAAGGTCCTCACGATTTCCTTTATATGCAAAAATAGTCCTTTCTGTTGATTTACGTAGAAAATGATGGTTATTTTTTTAAAGAAGACAATTTTTTATCACAAAATTCAAACAAGGGCGGACCCAGGAAATTTTTTCAGTGCGGGTTGTATTAGTAAAAGTAAAAAAAAAAAAAATGATAACACAAACATTATACTAAAATGAAATACTATACAAATATTTTTTACGAGTTTTCATATTTTGATATCATTGTACAATCGCCTCATTATCAAATTATAAGAATAAATCTTTCTTCAAATAAAAANTTATACTAAAATGAAATACCTTACAATTATCCTTTACGAGTTTTCATGCTTTGATATCTTTGTACAATTGTCTCATTATCAATCTTTAAGAATATATCTTTCTCCACATAAACAATAAGGCTATTATTCAACCACTCATCTCCAATTTGATTGCGCAATCTATCATTTACAATGTTCATGGCAGAAAATACTCTTTACCGTAACAGTAGCAACCAGAAGAATTAGTGTCAAAGTCAAAAGCTTGTAAACCATTGGATATGATGCGTCTTTATTTGTCAAAACTAACTTCTGTGCGAGAGCACTGAAAACATTTAATTCTTCAAACTCTTTGCTAG